TCCATCTCGTGGCTTCCACAATGCTAAGTCAAAGTCGAAAGATAAAAAAAATATGTACAGAAAGGTAAGACCCTCCTCGCGCGTTGGCCGCGATGTCACGGAAACGGTGGAACGCTATTGGATTGCGGAGGTGGCGGAGGGATATCTGATTCCCTTTGAGGGGCCTTTGCCGCTACCTTCTTAACCTGTAACTGACTATAGGTGGTGTTGGTGGAGCGCGATCGGTACAGGCAGCGCCCGGCGTTGCCACACCTGGCCCGTCGACACCAGTACCCAGGCGGAGTACGCGGCAGCGAAGGCCACCTGACCGTTACTCGCCGGGGTAGTCTTCATCGTCGACCAGCCAGGACTTGCCACGACCAGGCACAATCTGCGTTGGCTGTGTGTATTGTTAATGTATTTTGTGTTTTTAGAGACAAAAAGGGGGGGAGGAGTGTGACAAGTTAGTGGCGCCCCCCTCCAGTCCGCCCGTCTGCGGCCGCCTGGCTCGGCGGGCAACATTGATCACCTCGCCCAATAAACGCCGTAGAGCGCACGCCGCTCCGGTCAGTAGTCATCGTCCACCTCACAACCAGGCTGCGTGTCGTCTCTCCTCGGCGGGTGCTTCGGCCCCCTTCGTCCACGTTCCAGAAAGATCGTGAAAATCAGAAAGCCGACAAGCGGAGTCTGACTGGAGTTTGACCGTTTGGCTGTCGCTCAGAGTAGCTTGTTGGCCAATCAGACATGCTTGACGTGAAAAGACGGTGAGAGTGCAGGCGAGCTGGTGGTAGCTAATCATGTCGTATTACACCTGAGACTGCGGTGGAAGAAATCGGAAGAACTTTCAGTAGAAGGAACATACACAGAGAACGTCTCAAACTCAGCTAACTGGTTTATTTCTCAAACAGCCTTTAAGTACCCACGGAACTTTTTCCCAACCGGCAGCATCCCCCCTGGGCCGACCCTCGCGGAAGGGCCGAGCGTGGATTAGGGCCGAGCGAGCCGGAACTGCCCAGTGCGGGGGCTAGGCCGACCACTGCGAAAGGGCCGGGAGGGGTGTCGAGGCCGAAAGAGGGGGGAAGGCCGGGCACGGCGGCAAGGCTAAGGGAAGTGTAAGGGCCGATAACGGGGGAGGGGATTAGAGCGATCAGTGCACGCGTGGCTCCTTCGTCGACGCGGGAATTCGTTGGAAAGAAAACCGATAGATGGCGCGCCCTGGTTTCGCTCCTTTCTGTTTGGAGATCTGTTTGGTTTGACGAGTCTGGCGTGGACCACGGTGGAGGAAAAATGTGTTTCTTCCACCGCGGCCTAAAAACCTTTCTTTTTTTAACACACATTTTGAGCGAGCGAGCGAGCGATTGTCACAGCAGAGTGAAGTCTGGAAAAGCGAAACAACGTAATCCCGCTGCATGAGCTCTCGTGCATCCAGATCTTCTTGCAGTGCTTTGAACTCGTGCTCTAGCTTTCGCTATAATACACGGAGCTCCTAAATTGTCTCAACATCTTTGTCTTCTATGTGCTTGCCCAAAAGGGCACGGGCACAAGCCCTGTTTGCATAGAAGCCTCTTGGCTCCCCTCTAGGCTGACTGGCACAGTGTCTTCACGCGGCAAGGTCAGGAGCTTCATTTCGTCGCGTACTACTACTTCCGACTTTATGAGCCCTCACAGTGAAAGGCAAGAGGCAGAACCTCAGTTTTTTCTGCACCCCAGCCAACAGAAGAAAAGTAAACTTACCATGATCCCAAGGATAAATTCGGAGTATACTTGATGTGTGGTGTCTGAGGTGGCCAAAAAAAAAAAAGAAACATATTCCTATGAGGGAAACTAAGCCTATCGCACATATTACACATTCTGTGCACTCCGAATCATCTGTGCGACCGATCTAGGTCATTTGCAAAGAAAAAATCTACTAAGCAAACGTTTGGATACAATACAAATGAGGAGAACTACGGAATAGGATTTGCTCCTTTTTGATCCAAAGGCCCGACAGAATTCTAAATTGAAACCCGGATCACACCGCTTACACCTCATACAAAAGACAGTCTGACAGACACGATCGAGTCACCGCGAGAACCGTGTTTCGAATGCCGCGTGCCATGTTTCTTCTTGAACTCATTGCCCTGCAGCATTCGAAGAACGGACCCCGCGGTGACTCGCGTTCAAACCTGTCTGCAGACCGTCCTTCGTAGGATTTAAGAGCAGTGTGACCCCAGCTTAACGTTCATGTATATATTTTATCATGAAAATCCTGAAAGATTACGTAGCCGGGGGCGGTATGTCATAAAGCAAAAGCGACGGGATTGCCATGGTGGGGAAGAACAATCAGAGATGCTTAAAAGAGATGTAAAAAAATTGCAAGGCGAGTAGAAAAAAAGAATTAAGATTAATTAACCGCGTTTCTATGAGAAAGCAATTGACGTTGCACTGAGTTTCTCTTTGTGCACGAGCTCACTAGGTAGCCGGAGAAAAGCTCACCGGACAAAAGCTCACCGACAAAAGCTTACCTATTTTTTTTGGCTAAAGACAGGCTGGGATAAAGTGCGGGCACGATGGACATTGCACCATTTTTAGGAGGACTGGTACCCCTTACCATACAAAGGTGTCGACAGATAAGCCATAACAGGCGAAGCGACGATTTGGGACCAAAATTTAGGTCACCGATATTGAGTGGAGCTGATAACACAAAACTTGCCGGAGTACCCTTGCGCCACGCCGAAGGAACTTCGTGGATCGAAGTTTTGAACCCGCTTTTTCAATGTTCTTATGTCACGCTAAACGCGCACATAAAGGTTATGCAGAATTTACTCCATTGCAAGAACGCAGTGGCATATAATGGTCAGTGGTAAGCGTGTTTCACATGCAGCGATTTCGGCCCTAGAGCGGCGCGATTTCTGCCGTCGCGGCGCTCGTGCCGCTCAACCGCTGGTGCTGGCCAAAGCGCCGGGACGGCAGAAATCGCGCCGCTCTAGGGCCAAAACCGCTGCATGTGAAACACGCTTTAGTCTGGAAATACCTTTAGCTTATTACTGGAAGCATGCTTAAATAGGCTGGTTTAGGCGTGTTAGCTTTGCCTCCAGAAGTTGAAGTTGCTCGAGCGCTTGTAAACTTTGTTTAATTTTGTCAAGGCGCGATTCAGGTGTATTTCTGCAAAGTAAAAAAGAAAATAGCGTGGTACAGAAATTATATATGTTTTGCTGCTTCTTTGTGCATATTAAGGCGTCTGAACCAAAATGGGTTCATCGGGACCGCCAACTAGGGCCGCCGTTATGTCCACGCGTCTATGCCTCGCCATTCCGTCGTGGCCAAATGCATGGAACTTTCGCTCTAGATTATTATGTTAGACAAGCTTTGTACCCCAACTACGGGTTTATGGACAACATTTCGTGTCAGATGAGGAACCTCTTTGCGATTGACTAGGGAAAAATATATTCTGAAATGTGATTATAAAAAGACGGCTTTCTGACTACGGCACTACCGCTGCCACAATAAGACGCAGAATGCCTCCAACATGGCGTCAAGGCACTAATAGCAGACGACAATGTTGGTTTCGATTTCGAGTCTAACCAGAAGTGAGTTAGGTGCGAAATCTTATACTTAAAGGCGTAAAAGAAATGAGCACAAAGAAGTAGGCGTGCACACTCGGAGCGCTACAAACAACTGAATTTTATCTTGAAAAAAAAAAAAAAAAAAACGAACATATATGCACACTTTATTATACCTCACCCCAAATGAACCTGAATTCCTTATTTAATGAAACGAGTGACGTCGCACTCATGCAACCGTCATACTCATTTACACTTTCTGCCGCTTTTTTGGATTCCTACTTCCCCGGAATCTGTGTTTTATCCAGCAAAGGATAACACGAACACTTATTACAGTGGACTTCGAAGTTCCGTGAAGGACACCGCTTTACAGAATGTTGATGACCTATGTACGATCGGGTGGTGCACGGAAGCACCCGATGACAAAAGCTCCGTGTGAAATGACCACGACTGACACACCGTCCTTTTGCCCCGCCTTAAAATGGCCAGTTTCATCAGGAGCGAATGACGCGAATTCTCAGATAAGGTGGCCAGGTCCTCACCGTGACGGCGGAGCACTTTGCTTCTAATTAAGCGACAATAAGTGGGCACGCGAGCGTGTGTAAGGTAATCATGCCGTCATTGGAACAATGCTGGTTGAAGCTTGCACAGGGATTCTGCACGTGGGGCTATCATGCTACATACATACGATCGCCCATATGTCGCTGATATTTTAGACTACCGATGTAGCGCATCCCACATGTTTGTGTGATTTTTTTTTTTTGTGCGCATGCTTTTTTGTCTTTGTTTATTTTTAAGCGTAATCTAGTTAAACTCTTTTTCACCCCAACTTGTGCACCGGAGGCTCCACCTCTACAGGCCGCGCATTGGCCAGTCACCGTCGCACCACCACGAAGCGCTCCTCCGCCATTTTTGAATCAAATATAAACAAAAAAGTGTTTACAAAGAAAAAGTTCTATACGAGCGTCGTAATCGTGATAATCCAATCATCTTAAATAGGGCTTATTATGTAGCACGTTTTGAGCTATAATTTTTCATATGTCCAAATTTATTGGTGTGATTCTTTTTAAAATACGAATCGCACGCAGTCGCTGCGTGGTGACTGAGGCCCTACTGACTGCGTTCGTTTGTTCACGGAAGAGTGAGTCGTTCACAAACAGAATTGCTTTCTTAATAAATACAGCACTCCCGACTTGGCTAACATCTTCTCTCAAATAAAACAATTGTACCGTCAAACTGTCCACTTAAACGGCGCAAGACTTGCAGCCTGAGTGTCTATTTCTTTACTTCTGTTGAATTTACGAACGCGTCCGGTTAACTCGGTGACGTCATGTTGTTGTTGTAGTCGGGGAATCGAATGCTCGACGCGCTCGGCCCGATTGCGTTCTTCTTCTGCGTGTTCAGATATTTTTTACAACTTTATCGTTCTGTTTTATTATTCAGCGTATTTCCTTTGTGGATATCGTTGAGGTAGTGTCCATGGCTCCATCTCCACCGCCGTCGAGACGTAAGCCAGCCGCCACGACACCTATAAATTTGTGGAAGAAGCATCGGCAAGGACGCAAGCTCTCGAGCGATTGCAAGCAGATGGTTCTTTCCGTGTACGCCAAGCTGCGAGAACAATACCCGGACAGGTTGAGGAACGACTTATACCAGCTGACGTCTGAGTATACTGGCGTCGGAGCACGGACAGTTGTTGCCATAAAGAAGGAAGCCATCACGAATTCCGGGCTCCTTCGAACTCCAACTGGTAAGCGCCCAAAGTCGGTTGGCACCCGTCGTCGCCTGGTCCAGTACGACTCTTTTGTGCTGTCTGCGTTGCGGTCCTGCGTGCACGGCTTCTTTCGAAGGAACGAAACTCCGACCGTCACGAAGATACGCGAAGCCCTCATTGAAGCGCTGAAGGATGATGAGGTCGCCGTGGAACCGAGTCCATCGACTGTGTACCGTCTTTTGCATGACATTGGGTTCGAGCTGCAGAAGAGGAGTCGCAACTCTCTTCTCATTGAGAAGGACGACATCCTTGTGTGGCGTGCGAAGTACCTCCGCTCAATCCTGAAGTTTCGAGCAGAGGGTAAGGCGATCTATTATCTCGACGAAACGTGGGTCAACGCCGGACACACCGTCAACAAGATCTGGGTCGACACGACGGTGCGTTCTGCCAGAGACGCAGGAAATCGCGGCCTCAGCACCGGTCTCAAAAATCCATCTGGCAAAGGCAGCAGACTGATTGTCACTCACGTTGGGGGTGACCAAGGCTTTGTGGAAGGTTGCCTCGACATTTTTCATGGAGTGAAGTCGGGCGATTACCACGACGAGATGGATGGCAACAGGTTTGAACATTGGTTTGACTTGTTCCTGACCAAGGTAGAGCCAGGAAGCGTTATTGTAATGGATAACGCTTCCTACCACTCAAGACGCGTGGAGTGTGTCCCCACGAAATCTTCAACCAAGAGTGTCATCCAAGAATGGCTAAGCTCAAAAAGAATTGACTGGGACAAAGACATGCTCAAGGTGGAACTAATTTCTTTAGTCTCCCAAGTGCGACACAAGTTCCTCAGCTACCGAGTGGACACACGTGCTGAAACTGTTGGGTGCACGGTTCTTAGGCTGCCCCCTTATCATTGTGAGCTGAATCCCATTGAGCTTATCTGGGGGCAAGTGAAGAATGAGGTTGCACGAAGCAACTCGTCTTTCAAACTAAAAGATGTGAAGGTGCTTCTAGAGCAGGCAATCAAGAATGTCACGAAAGACAACTGGACCGCTGCTATACAGCATGTTAAGAAGATGGAAAAGCAGTTCTGGGAGAATGACAGCCTGTCGGACAGAGAGGTTGCACCAATCATCATCGAAATCAATGCCGGAGATGTCAGCGACGACTCCTATGAAGATGAAAGCTGCGATGAAGTTGTCTCTGGATCAGGCCAGCCACACATTCCAGGTGTGGAGCCACTTAATATGTAAGCAGTGTGGCAAAGTATTTCTTCCATTGTGCTCTCCGGGAACTGCTGGAGGCCCACGTGAAGCCTTCTCTGCGTATAAGGCGGCCTGCCTGTGTGGGCTGACTCCCGAGATCTGGTATGCAACCCTGCCTCTCCGAAAACGGCTGCAGCAACACGACGAGGCGGCTTCGGAGGCCCACTTGAAGAGTTCTCTGAAAGCAAGGCGGCCTGCCTGTGTGGGCTGACTCTCAACATCTGGTATGCAACCCTGCATCTCCGAGAACTGCTGCAGCAACACGACAAGGCGGCTTCGGAGGCCCACTTGAAGAGTTCTCCGAAAACAAGGCGGCCTGCCTGTGTTGGCTGACTCTCGACATCTGGTATGCAACCCTGCCTCTCCGAGAACTGCTGCAGCAACACGACGAGGCGGCTTCGGAGGCCCACCTGAAGAGTTCTCTGAAAGCAAGGCGGCCTGCCTGTGTGGGCTGACTCTCGACATCTGGTATGCAACCCTGCCTCTCCGAGAGCGGCTGCAGCAACACGACGAGGCGGTTTCGGAAGCCTACGTGAAGCCTTCTCTGAAAGCAAGGCGGCCTGCCTGTGTGGGCTGACTCTCGACACCTGGTATGCAACCCTGCCTCTCCGAGAACTGCTGCAGCAACACGACGAGGCGGCTTCGGAGGCCCACTTGAAGCGTTCTCTGAAAACAAGGCGGCCTGCCTGTGTTGGCTGACTCTCGACATCTGGTATGCAACCCTGCCTCTCCGAGAGCGGCTGCAGCAACACGACGAGGCGGCTTCGGAAGCCTACGTGAAGCCTTCTCTGAAAGCAAGGCGGCCTGTCTGTGTGGGCTGACTCTCGACATCTGGTATGCAACCCTGCCTCTCCGAGAGCGGCTGCAGCAACACGACGAGGCGGCTTCGGAAGCCTACGTGAAGCCTTCTCTGAAAGCAAGGCGGCCTGCCTGTGTGGGCTGACTCTCGACATCTGGTATGCAACCCTGCCTCTCCGAGAACGGCTGCAGCAACACGACGAGGCGGCTTCGGAAGCCTACGTGAAGCCTTCTCTGAAAGCAAGGCGGCCTGCCTGTGTGGGCTGACTCTCGACATCTGGTATGCAACCCTGCTTCTCCGAGAGCGGCTGCAGCAACACGACGAGGCGGCTTCGGAAGCCTACGTGAAGCCTTCTCTGAAAGCAAGGCGGCCTGCCTGTGTGGGCTGACTCTCGACATCTGGTATGCAACCCTGCTTCTCCGAGAACGGCTGCAGCAACACGACGAGGCGGCTTCGGAAGCCTATGTGAAGCCTTCTCTGAAAGCAAGGCGGCCTGTCTGTGTGGGCTGACTCTCGACATCTGTATGCAACCCTGCCTCTCCGAGAACGGCTGCAGCAACACGACGAGACGGCTTCGGAAGCCTACGTGAAGCCTTCTCTGAAAGCAAGGCGGCCTGTCTGTGTGGGCTGACTCTCGACATCTGGTGTGCAACCCTGCCTCTCCGAGAACGGCTGCAGCAACACGACGAGGCAGCTTCGGAGGCCCACTTGAAGAGTTCTCCAAAAACAAGGCGGCCTGCCTGTGTGGGCTGACTCTCGACATCTGTATGCAACCCTGCCTCTCCGAGAACGGCTGCAGCAACACGACGAGGCGGCTTCGGAGGCCCACTTGAAGAGTTCTCCGAAAACAAGGCGGCCTGCCTGTGTTGGCTGACTCTCGACATCTGGTATGCAACCCTGCCTCTCCGAGAACTGCTGCAGCAACACGACGAGGCGGCTTCGGAGGCCCACCTGAAGAGTTCTCTGAAAGCAAGGCGGCCTGCCTGTGTGGGCTGACTCTCGACATCTGGTATGCAACCCTGCCTCTCCGAGAGCGGCTGCAGCAACACGACGAGGCGGTTTCGGAAGCCTACGTGAAGCCTTCTCTGAAAGCAAGGCGGCCTGCCTGTGTGGGCTGACTCTCGACACCTGGTATGCAACCCTGCCTCTCCGAGAACTGCTGCAGCAACACGACGAGGCGGCTTCGGAGGCCCACTTGAAGCGTTCTCTGAAAACAAGGCGGCCTGCCTGTGTTGGCTGACTCTCGACATCTGGTATGCAACCCTGCCTCTCCGAGAGCGGCTGCAGCAACACGACGAGGCGGCTTCGGAAGCCTACGTGAAGCCTTCTCTGAAAGCAAGGCGGCCTGTCTGTGGGGGCTGACTCTCGACATCTGGTATGCAACCCTGCCTCTCCGAGAGCGGCTGCAGCAACACGACGAGGCGGCTTCGGAAGCCTACGTGAAGCCTTCTCTGAAAGCAAGGCGGCCTGCCTGTGTGGGCTGACTCTCGACATCTGGTATGCAACCCTGCCTCTCCGAGAACGGCTGCAGCAACACGACGAGGCGGCTTCGGAAGCCTACGTGAAGCCTTCTCTGAAAGCAAGGCGGCCTGCCTGTGTGGGCTGACTCTCGACATCTGGTATGCAACCCTGCTTCTCCGAGAGCGGCTGCAGCAACACGACGAGGCGGCTTCGGAAGCCTACGTGAAGCCTTCTCTGAAAGCAAGGCGGCCTGCCTGTGTGGGCTGACTCTCGACATCTGGTATGCAACCCTGCTTCTCCGAGAACGGCTGCAGCAACACGACGAGGCGGCTTCGGAAGCCTATGTGAAGCCTTCTCTGAAAGCAAGGCGGCCTGTCTGTGTGGGCTGACTCTCGACATCTGTATGCAACCCTGCCTCTCCGAGAACGGCTGCAGCAACACGACGAGATGGCTTCGGAAGCCTACGTGAAGCCTTCTCTGAAAGCAAGGCGGCCTGTCTGTGTGGGCTGACTCTCGACATCTGGTGTGCAACCCTGCCTCTCCGAGAACGGCTGCAGCAACACGACGAGGCAGCTTCGGAGGCCCACTTGAAGAGTTCTCCAAAAACAAGGCGGCCTGCCTGTGTGGGCTGACTCTCGACATCTGTATGCAACCCTGCCTCTCCGAGAACGGCTGCAGCAACACGACGAGGCGGCTTCGGAGGCCCATTTGAAGAGTTCTCCGAAAACAAGGCGGCCTGCCTGTGTTGGCTGACTCTCGACATCTGGTATGCAACCCTGCCTCTCCGAGAACTGCTGCAGCAACACGACGAGGCGGCTTCGGAGGCCCACCTGAAGAGTTCTCTGAAAGCAAGGCGGCCTGCCTGTGTGGGCTGGCTCTCGACATCTGGTATGCAACCCTGCCTCTCCGAGAGCGGCTGCAGCAACACGACGAGGCGGCTTCGGAAGCCTACGTGAAGCCTTCTCTGAAAGCAAGGCGGCCTGCCTGTGTGGGCTGACTCTCGACATCTGGTATGCAACCCTGCTTCTCCGAGAACGGCTGCAGCAACACGACGAGGCGGCTTCGGAAGCCTATGTGAAGCCTTCTCTGAAAGCAAGGCGGCCTGTCTGTGTGGGCTGACTCTCGACATCTGTATGCAACCCTGCCTCTCCGAGAACGGCTGCAGCAACACGACGAGACGGCTTCGGAAGCCTACGTGAAGCCTTCTCTGAAAGCAAGGCGGCCTGTCTGTGTGGGCTGACTCTCGACATCTGGTGTGCAACCCTGCCTCTCCGAGAACGGCTGCAGCAACACGACGAGGCAGCTTCGGAGGCCCACTTGAAGAGTTCTCCAAAAACAAGGCGGCCTGCCTGTGTGGGCTGACTCTCGACATCTGTATGCAACCCTGCCTCTCCGAGAACGGCTGCAGCAACACGACGAGACGGCTTCGGAAGCCTACGTGAAGCCTTCTCTGAAAGCAAGGCGGCCTGTCTGTGTGGGCTGACTCCCGACATCTGGTATGCAACCCTGCCTCTCCGAGAACGGCTGCAGCAACACGACGAGGCGGCTTCGGAAGCCTACGTGAAGCCTTCTCTGAAAGCAAGGCGGCCTTGTCTGTGTGGGCTGACTCCCGACATCTGGTATGCAACCCTGCCTCTCCGAGAACGGCTGCAGCAACACGACGAGGCGGCTTCGGAAGCCTACGTGAAGCGTTCTCTGAAAACAAGGCGGCCTGCCTGTGTGGACTAACTCTCGTCATCTTGATTGAAGCCCTGCCACTTCGAGAACTGTTGCAGCAACACGACGAGTCGGCTCCGTTATGTTGCACAGAAATATTAAACACCGAGCCATGTTCAAGACGTCGTTCCATTCCCTTCTCGTCTCCCAGGCTAATATTGCGGGATTTAGCATGTCTTCAGCTTACACCGGCTTGTGTGCACGCATCTGCTAGTTCCTCTTAGATTGAATCTTTATTTAGGCAACAACATACAAACAGTCGTTGCCCAAGAGCTGACACAAAAGGCAAACAGAATTGCCTCACGAGGCGCCGCCCCCCCCTCCCCCTCCCAATCACAAACATCATACACACTTGTCGTACACAATATAACAGCATAATAAGGGTACAGCAAAGGTTACAGAATAGACTTGCACAGCAGAATTCAATTTTAGAACACCCCTGGCCCCAAAGACGCCAGAAATGCAGTTCGTTGAATGCAGAGTACACAGGAAGTGCCCGAGGTCTAATTGAACAGTGCAGGTCTACAGAATTTGCTTGTGTTACCAGTTTTTGGCTCATGAGCTTACATCACATTGTAAACCTAGGACACAGGACAAACACGAAAGGGCCTTTTAGTGTTTGTCCTGTGTTCATCCTAGGGATGTACAAAATACGAACTTCAAGAAGGTTATGAGTCGCAAAGATGCAGGGCTGTGGCACTGCAAACAAAAGCTGCCACAAGTACATTCGCTATACACAAATGCATGCTGGTGCTGTCCCAGAAATATTTTATAGTGATTCAAAGGATTAGACCTGCAATGAAGTGACATAGTTCCGTACTAAAATAAGTGGATGTGGGGCGGTCAGTTATAGTGCCCAGATGTAGTACAGCTGCATCTGTTTTCTCGAAGGTAAGAGAACTGGGAACAAACAATGCAAGCATTGTAACAGGAAACTGTTTTGGGCAGTACAGTACAATACCGAAATTGTTCGTTTTAGGGGGTTTTACCATGGGGGAGGGGGGAAAGAGAA